TCATTTAGATAGCCCCACTGAAGGGGTACTCCAATTGCCTCACCCTGCATCCCTGTTCAGCATGGAAGAAGCTAGAGCAGTCTGTGTCCCAATTCCCTATTGGCAATTCGGGCAATCTCTTCATAGGATGGTGTGATAAGACTAGGACATAGGAATTGGCTAGGCAGTTAGGGTAAAAAGACCCCAAAGAAAAGTAGCCAGTTTCTTGGCTAAAACTCACAATGTCCTTGGTCCTCTTAGCAACATACTCCATTACAAAGGGTAAAAATGTCAAAAATATTTGAGAGCTTTCATCTAATCCTTAAAAGATTTTAGGATTACCTCTTTAGAGGGGAGAGTGTTAGAGTAGCCAAAAGCCCCATAAAATAAATAAATAAATCGAAGAAGAAGAACGAATCCATGCAGTTATCAGAAAAAAGTGATGGGGAGATATGGGAAGAGTTGGAGGGAAGGAAATGGGCATGGATTTGATCAAAACACCTTATATGCCTGTATGAAATTCTCAATAAATTATTTACTTAAAAAATTTAGTTCATTTATTTTAAATTTTATTTATGTATGTGTGTGCCTGTATGTGGGTAAGTGCACTTGAGTGCAGTATCCATGGAGGCCAGAAGAGGGTGCTGGATCCCCTGGAACTGGAGTTACAGGTAGTTGTGAGCCACCCCATGTAGGTTCTGGGAATCAAACTCTGGTCATCTGCAAGAGCAACATGTGCCTGTTAATCCCTGAGCCATTTCTCCAGCATAAGATTTTTCTTAATATTTTTGAATTTTTTTGTGTAGGAGTGCTTTCCCTAGATGTATATAAGTGCACCAGCACCATGTATGTGCAGTGCCCCCAGAGACCAGATCCCCTGGAACTGGAGTTATAGATTGTTAGCCATCCTGTGGGTTCTAGGAACCAAATCCAGGTCCTCTGGAAGAGCAGCCAGTACTCTTAACTGCTGAACCACCTCTCCAGTCCCCATTTTCTTTCTTTCTTTCTTTTTTAATTGGGGGGGGGGCTGGAGAGATGGCTCAGGGGTTAGAACACTGGTTGTTCTTGCGGAAGACCCAGGTTTGAATTCCAGCACCCACATGGAGGCTAACTGTTCATAACTCCAGTTCCAGGGGATCCAACAGCCTCTTCTGTCCTCTGCAGGCATTGCACAACACGGGTGCACTTACCTACATGCAGGCAATACAGTCATTCACATTAAATAAAAATAATGAATAAAATATTTTTTAAAAATTTTTTGGTCTTTTTGAGACAGGGTCTCCCTGTAAGGCCTGGAACTCACTATGTAGACCAGGCTAGCCTTGAACTCACAGAGATCCACCTGCCTCTGCCTCCCGAGTAAATGTTCAACCACATCCAGCTATTTATTTATTGTTGGGGGTAGGGTACACACATGCCACATCATACATGTGGAAGAGGGAAGACTCTTGGCACCTGCTCACAGCAGGCCCTTTGTTTCAGAACACTGACTTCCAGAGGAGCCAGGCATTTATTGTGACCTCTAAAGTTGCCCTTAAATGGCTCTGTAGCTGGGTAAAGGATCCAGGTGGCAGAAGGTGGGGTGGGCAGACATATTTCTCTTAGAGGAGGGGGCCTGACTCTTCTAAAGACAGATGGAGGGAAAGGGAATCTCCAAATCTCTACCTGGATCTGAACTTCATTCTGAAATGGCACCAGCCCTAGGGATTGAACTGCATGACTGGGTAGAGATTGCCTGACCAGGTCAGGGGTGAGGCCCAAGTGTGTTGAGGAGATGGGAAGAGACCTGGAGCTGAGTGGGGCACGTCAACTCTGTTTCGTCAACTCTGTTCAGAGCTGGCTATGATGGGCCACCTAAGTCAGGGGCAATGCCCCAAGACTTGGGTAGAAGGTCATACTCAGAGTATCTTCTGTCCCTTAGCACTCACCCACAACCGCAGTTTGTAGAAGATCCCAAAGTAGATGCAACATCTTGTGACCGCCCCCCAAACTTGAGCAAGACAGCCCAATGAAGATGCCTAGGGCAGATGAGGGAGTGATAGGCCAGTGAGAGGAGAAGGGGAGGGTCCTAAGGAGGGACAGAGGCCAAGTGCTGGTGACATTTTTGTTCTGAAGTTACATGTGCCAAATGGAAAGGAATCCTATGGGAACCAGTGTGAGTGTGTGTGCCTGGTCATCAGATGGGAGTTGTTCTGTGTGTGTGTGTGTGTGTGTGTGTGTGTGTGTGTGTGTGTGTGGTTTCTCTGAGTCTCTATTTATGGTTGGGGTCCAGAGTCATGGGTATCCACCCAGCAGTTATTGTCTTTTCCTCTGCTCTCTCCCTCTTCCCCTCCTCCCTCTCCCAGTATGGTGCTGAGAATCAAATCCAGGCTAGGTAAGCATTCTAGTACTGAGCTACCTCCCAGCCTATCTTTGTTTTCCTGCCTGAGGGTGGGTGTGCCTATAGATTGTTTGCAGTTGGGTTCTCAGTGGGGTCTGCCTTTCAGTGGGTGAAGGCCCTAACGGTGGGAGCACCTGGAGGGACAGCAGGTGGAACTCTCTGTGAGGTTTGGGTGGTGCCCTGCCCCTTCTCCCACCCAAGCAGTTTTGAACAAAAGAGACGTTGTACTGGGAACCCAGGGTCCTGGGTCCCTCAAGCTGTTTGTGCCTTAGTCTCCTGGGATGAAACTGAGACTTGGAACGGTCACCCCTTGGCTTGTCCTCTTTATTTTCTGACACTCTGGCTCCCTCGGTCAAATCCTTTTGCTTTGTCTGTCTTGTACTTCTAGTACATTGTCTCTCTCTGCCTTAATTTCTGTTTCAGCCAGAGTCTGGCTTTTTTTTTCGCCTCAGGCCTTTCCCCTCCCTGATCTTGTGTCAAGACCACAATTATCCTGCTTTACTTTTTTTTGAGACAGGGTCTCCCCAGATGTCCTGGAGCTCGCTATGTAGGCCAGGCTACCCTCAGTCTCACCGAGATCCGCCAGCCTCTGCCGCCTGAGTGCTGGGATTAAAGGCTTGCACCACCATGACCAGCTGTCCTGGGTTTTACAGCGGTATCTGGGGGCCCCAGATCGCTTCCCGTACAGATTCTGCGGGCTTCTCGTGTGTGTGGGGGGGTATCTGTCCGCCACTTTGGGTGCGGGGGCGCTGTGTAGAGGGTTCGCGTCCCATTGCCGAACCCGCCCCACTCCGGAGACAATGACAAACACCGCCGTGCATTTATAAAAGTTTATTTTCCGTGCTGTAGAAGTGAGGCTCGGGGTGGTGGCTCAGTAGACCTCCGGCTTAGCAGGATCGACTTCCCGCGCCCCTGCCAGCTGCACCAGCCGCAGCAGCAGCGCCCCGGTGGACCCCGCCAGCTGCGTAGCGTTGCTCCGGTCGCGGGCGCGGGTGAGGCGGAGAAAACCCTCCCGGCACTCGGGCACGGTCTCGCAGCTCTCTGCGGGAAGGGGCGTGTGAGCCCGGGCGCCCTCGGGTAGTCGCAGCCCTCGGGGACACCCCCCAGCTCCTCCCTGCCCCTCCCGCCTCCCCCTCCAGTGCGCACAGACCGTCGAAAATCTGCTTTATTTTTCATTTCTTCTGGACGTGGCTAAGCAGAGCGAAGATGGCGTCCCGAGGGTATCTGCAAAATGGGCTCAGCGCTCGGAGAATGCGGATTCAGGGTCGCAGGCTGGATCCATGCGGCAGCCATCTGCAAGAAGAGTGAGTCAGTGACTTGGGCTGCAAACCCGGGAGCATTCGGTCTGTCGGTCTCGCCAGCTTCGCCCTGCTTACCCGGGCTGCAGCAGATGCCCGTGGCGGCGCAGCGGCCTCCGCTCCCGCACGACTTCTGGCCGGACTGGCAGGGCGAAGGCAGGTAGTTCTCCTCCTGGCAGCGCAGCGCCTCGGCGGTGCCCACGAAGCACCCCAGCTCGTCCCCACAGCAGATGCTGGGCCCGAAGCAGCGCCCTTTGCCGCCCGGGCCGCAGGGGAGGCACTGCGGGGGTGGACCCGGGTCAGCTGGAGAGGGTCTGGTGGGGGACCTCGCCAGGCCGCGGTGGTCTGCGGCCACTGTGCTTCGCCTCAGTACCCTGTCACAGGTCCCTCGTCCAGCAGGGCAGGAGTGGAAATCTAAACTCCTTGGTTACCAGGTGACCGAGGACCAGTTCTCACTAAGGCTACTCAACACTCACCCGAGTTGGTAGACTCCCCTCCCCTGGGCTGTAGCACGGGAGGGCCTCTCTTAGTTCCCAGGGCGTCACAGGTGAGTACCAATCTCTAAAAGGCTCACCACACCGACTTTCAGACGGTACTCCTGCACATCCCTAGGCGGTCTTTCCCCACCCTTCCCCAACTGCGGAACGCTCCGGCCCCACGGAGAGCAGACTACTCCGGCCCTTCCCATTTTCTGGTCTTTGCCTTAGTTCCAAGCTGGTAGGCCTCACATGGGCCTCCACCTCCTGCCACCCACGATGGCCTACTAGGTGGGTGGCAGGGATCAAATCGGAGCCGGGTAAGTATACCAACACCTGGTGCCTCAGGTCTCCAAAGAAAGCCTACCAAATTGAGCCTGGCCATTAGATTCTCTTCAGCTCTGCCAGAAGGGTAATAAAAGTACATTGGCTGGACCTGTAGCATAAGAGAATTGGGCTGGGCAGGAAACTGGGCTAAGTATCTAGCATAGTCTACTCAAGTCATCTTTTGGAGGCAGGGACAGACTGGCCCATGTGGCTAGAAATGGGCCCATGAGAGTCTGGGTCTGGGTAGAAAAGGCCTAGAATTCTGTGTAGAACAGAGCCTTGTATATTCCAGCCAGTCCTGATGAATGGACCCACATGGATGAGAGGAGTCCTGGTCACCCAGTTCTAATTGCTCTAGCTAGGTCCAGTTATGGGGAAGTGTCATTTTTTGGCATCCCCTGTCCTTTGCACCTGATCCTCTCTCTCTACTTGAATAATCCGTCTGCCCTGCCATACCACTTCCTTCCAGGAACCTCCCCTAAAGTCTGACTTCTCTGTAACCTCCCTCCACCCTAGCTCCTGCCTCATGGTGTCATTCCTAGGACACTCCCAGCAGAGATGGACCAAAGTAGTACCTGTCTCAGCTCCATGTCCGACATGGCTCTCTTGCCGCCCCTTGGGCAGTTCTGGAAGTAGCAGGCAGAAGTGAAGGCCAGCAGGCCCAGGAAGCAAGCAGGCAGCATGGTGTTGGGCATCCTGGTGAGCACAGGTGGGCACTGTGTGTAGCACTGTTCCACTGGCTCTGTGTTGCTGCCTTGGCAGCCTATTTATGTCTGCAGGTGTTCCCTAGGAGGCGACAGTGTGGCGGCTGCCTTCCTCCCCAGGGGCTCCCCAGGAGCCCACAGCAGACAGGTCCCAAGCTGTCAGCAGTGATTCAGGCATCTGGGGACACACGTGGACCTGTCTGTGCAGAGGATGGTGGAGGAGGGGGCAGGCCAGCAGGCTGTCATTGGCCACAGTGTGACTGGAGCTCCTGCAACTGTGACGGTGGTGCCCTGTACCCGGGGAGATAAGACAACTTGGGAGTTACTTGGAGCCCATATCTGAGCATTTTAGCTACTCTGAACAGGCTGGGGGTCAACGAACCACATCCACCAAGGGCTGGTGTGTTTGGAACAGGATCAGGATCAGAAATGGTACAGCAGGGAAAGGCCTGTTAGTTGTGAGGTAGGGTGAGTGACAGGAACTACACACACCTGGTGGGAAGTGAGCACATCAGGGTTTGGGGCAGGGGGAATTGCCACTTGCAACTTCATGGACAAACAGCCATAGTCATAGAGTCAAGGCCAGAACACAGAATCAAGGGACTGACCTACACAGGGTGTGGTAGACTTCAGGTGAGGCCCAAGATGCTTCCACCCCATCCACACCCCAGTGGAGCCAGGTACAGGGACTTGGGCCCTGAGACTGGTGGCCTTGGTGATAGTTCCTAGCTGGTCTCCCATGACCTCTTCCCACTCAAGACATGAATTAGGGGACTATTGTGGGAATAAGAACTCTAGGCTCAGTAAGGTGTAAAAATAGTTAGGAGGGCCTGGTGTCATAGGCCTAGTTACTTGGGAAGCTAAACCAGGAAGATCAGATGTTCAAGTACAGTTGCCAGGTGTGAGTTCAAGGCCAGCCTGGTCTATAGAATGAATTCAAGTCCAGCCTCGGGAATTTAGTGAGACCTTGTCTTCAACACTGAAAAATAAAAAGAGCCGGGTGGTGGTGTGTGCTTTTAATCCCAGCACTCGGGAGGCAGAGGCAGGCAGATCTCTGTGAGTTCTAGGCCAGCCTGGTCTACATTGTGAGTTCCAGGCCAGTGGGGGCTACAGGGAAACCATCTCTCAAAAAGATCAAACATAAATAAATAAATAAATAAATAAATAAATAAATAAATAAATAAATAAACAAACAAACAAACAAGCCAGAATGATCTACTACATTTA